ATTTTACTATATGAACATATATATCAATGAGCTATTACAGCAATTTGATGTATCTTGTGGTGGGAAAACTTGCTTTGGGCTTGAAGTCTTTTTATGCTGTTGCCCATGTATATTTTTGGTTGACTAGCACTAGCAATGCTTTAATGCTAAATAAAATACTACATGAACCCTCTTTTTCTTTTGAAATGGTAATGAGAGAGGCCTCTTGCCCACTGCTCTTAGCTCAAGCAGGAGAGATGAGTACTTCCACAAAAAAAATAAATGACCAGAGACCCCTTGAGAACTTTCTTGCTTTTCATTTCCTGAAGCCTTGGAAAGCTTCAAACAAAACTGTAGCATTACCCAGTTCTGGCTTTGCACATACTGGTTCATCATCAAAAATCAAGTAGGCCTGAAAATCAATCTTGTCTCAACAGGGAGGGAGCCTTCCTATTTCTTCACTCATCCTGTTCACTTCTGGCAGTGACTCAGTCTGACAGTGTGCCTGCTAGGAAGAGAATCTAAGAAGATACAATTTATCAAATTCTGTCATGCAAAATCTTCAGTCTTCTTTCAGAAGACAGAACCAATTCCATCTATTCAAAGCAGTGTAAAACATTTGTGGATTTCTGACACCATAAAAGACAAAAACCATGCACAGTCCTGCTTTCAACCATTTTAGATTACCTGTCAAAGCAGCCCCGTATACAAACACAGGAGAGTTGTCATTGTGTACCTAAGCCATAACTTCAGATCTATTTTAGGTATATAAAAAAAGAACCTACCATCTAGTCCAGGCTGTGATGGAAAATGTTGAAAACAAGGCATTTGATTTTTTAGAATCACAGATTAATTTATGCTTGAGAAAATCTCTTAAATTTTAAGCCTAGCCTGTTCCTAGGACAGCTCCAAAATCTGATCACATCCTGGCCTTTAGTCAGATTTTGAGTGCTCCAGCAGTGGAAATCAAACAGCCTCTCTGAGCAATCTGTATCAGGCCTTGACCCTTCTCAGGTTCTCCATTGTTTAAACTTTTAGCCATCACTTTTCATCCTTCGCTGTGCACTTGCAAGGAGAGACTGACTCACTTTTGCCTGTAACTGTTAGTTAGCTAATTGAAGACAGCAATTCCATCCCCTGCTAGCCTGCACTGCTGCAGGCTGCCCAGAACTCACCTTCTTTAACTTCTTCCACATCCTGATCTGCTCCAACCCCACAGAAGCATAGAATATCCTAGGTTGTAAGGGTCCCACAAGGATCCTGCCTGTCTCCATGGCTGAATTTGCTCCAGTTGCATGAATCTCCGTTAGTCATGAAACCCAAAACTGTGATGGAAGCGACAGTGAAGAATTTATGAGATGTGCGTGTATAGCAGAACTAAGCCTGATTCAGATAAAATGGCAAGGCAGTTTACTGAGTCAGATCTTCCTGCTTAAGAAAGCTGAATTTTTCCAGGATTTAAGTTAATAATGTCTGAGAGTCATAAATACTTCACAACTGGAGACTGCAAAGCTAGAAAATGGAAAGGCAACGGGAAGTCACCTGCTGTAGGTAGTTAAATAGTAGTTCACTGTTCTCTTTCCTAAAGTCCAGCTTTCTGTGTATTTGCAGTTAGGTACAGTGATGCATATATAAGTTGCAGTTAACAATCAAGCATAATAGGACTGATGAGCTAAGAGGTACACTTCTGCAATACTTTTGAGCTGATTTCTCTTTCATCTGAAAATTCATATAATCCTTAGGTTTTCGGCTTTTTTCTGTTTGCCTCTTCTGGTACCCTCTGTGTATTAAAATGTTTAGAACTTTGTGCTTTTATCTGAAGATTTGAATCTTGTTTCAGAGAACAACCATGACTGGGGAAAGGCTGAAGCTGTTTGGACTAAAATTCAAGAAGAAAATATTGTTCCTCGTGAGAAAACACTAATTTTACTTGCTGATATATTGGAGCAAAATGGTCAGGTTGTTCCATTTGAGGTACCTAAGGTAATTGGACTTCATCTTTCCTGGTAACAACATTTTTGTATGTTTCTTCTCTTTGGAAACCTGTAACAGATAGCATTACAGTAACTTAAGTAATTTTGTTTGTTTTACAGGTCAGGTATGAAGAGAGCAAAAGTTTAAGTCCTGCTAGTGGAGACGAAAGAAAAATAAGGATTCTTTGCAAGAAAAATAATGCAAAAGGTGAACTGAAATCCACTGTTTTTCCTTTTCCCTTATTAATTTTAAGTTTTCAGTTAACTACAAAGCTCTTCTGTGCAAACTTCCCTGTCTCTGATAAAAACAATGAATTTATGCATGGATGTTTGCCTTTGTAAATAGAAGAGGGGAGTGTACTTCAGTGCAGTTCCTTTGGCTTGGTCTGTGTTTAATCATTGGAAATCCATTCCTATCCAACTCATCCCAAAGCAGGGTGAGAGAGTCAGAAATCGCTCTTACTGGACCATGCAAAGCAGGGAGGAAATCACAGAATGGATTAGGTTGGAAGGGACCACAGTGAGGCATCTGGTCCAACCTTCCTCTCAAGCAGGGTTGTCCTAGAGCACATGGCACAGAATTCTGTTGACAGTTCTTGTGTATCTCCAGTGAGAAAGAATCCACGACTTTTCTGGTCAATCTGTTCCCACATGGTAAAGAAGTTCCTGGTCACCCGCACAGTAAAGAAGTTCTTTCTCATGTGCAGGTGGAACTTGCTGCGTATCAGGTTCTGCCCATTGTGTCTTGTCCTCTTTCTTGGTACCACTGAGAAAAGCCTGACTCCAAATCAGTCCGTTACTAGTATTTGCCAAGGTGCAGAGCATTTAAATATTGTGAAAATTCTTATTTCCTTATTATCCTTATTTTCTTCATCTATACTATGACAAATAACTAGGTACTTCACTTGAAAGCAGTTTAGAAAATAGAATTCAATAGGTTAAAAAAATTAATTTTGCTGAATGAGGAAGATTTGTAAATGCAAGACACCTAGTAATTTTCTTCTCTAAGTGTAATCGGCATATTTTACCGGTTGGACACACAGATTTTTAAGCTATGAGTTTTTAAAAGGAGAATGTATCAGTCATTCACATGTTTAACTTAGGTTCTTAGCGAAATGACTCTGTAGAGTTATTCAATTTAGAAGTCTAGAGTGGAGTCTGGACATTGTCTATATAGGGAGTGCAATGTCATCTTACGTATTTGAAGGTAAGAATCGTGAGTATTATGGCAGACAGAATGTTTTCAGGAAATTCTTCATGTTGTTAAGTTTTGGGAATCATTAGAAAGTGAGAAATGCAGAAATATTTTCACAGGAAATCAGACAAAATTAATGGAATGCACTTTATCACATTCTCACTAGAAAAATGTCCTGTACCTTCAGTATCATAAATGATCAAGTGGAGAGTAGGAGGAAACTCAACATGCCTTGGACTTTGCAGGGAGATTGGTTTAAAACAAAATATAAAATATAACTCAGTCTATGATGACATTTGATATTGAATTTATCAGTAAACTGCCCCCACACATTCTTTTATTTAAAGGTGCTGTATTTGAGGGAAGGTGGTCTAGAGCTATTGGGAATGAAGGGAAAACAGGCAGTGTTGGAAAACAGTTCCTCTCTTCTTGGGAAGCCATTCTCTTGGCCTTAAAGAGACTAACCTAAAAAGACTGAGTTGTTGCTTTTTTTGGGTAAGAGTATCATGGAATTTTGGTGTGAATATAATAGTGCAGCTTTCTGATGGGAAAAAGATTTACTTAATCTAGTTACGTAACTATTTCATGACTTCACCAGCTTTGACATGGAGGTGTTTTGGTAATCTGTTCTCTGGAGTGCTTGCTTTATGCAAAGTCATATTTTCATTTTTATCTTGATTCCTCAGTGTGAGAACTTGACTCTAGGGGATCATGTTACACATATCCCAAACAGTTGCAATTGCTGAAACAGATTTGACTGCCTTGAGAACTGAGACTTTCTTGGCAAGTTGTCACTTTTCTAACAAATCTTTCTACTTGAAATACCTAGTGTAACACAATATGATTTTGAAACCAATAAATTTCTCTTTTGAATGCTAATATACTTGAGTAATTTTAAATGCCATCTGAAGAAGTAATAAGCTGGTAATACCTGATTAGGCATATGTCTCAGTTCAAGACTCACCTAAGCTAGGTCTGACACAGACAACGAAACATTCTAGAACAGTAAAGCAAAACTGATACAGAGACTTCTAGTTCTTCATTGAGCTAGTCATAATAAAACAAAGATGTAAATATATTTCCTTGTAGACAGATATCAGACTGTGATAATTGGTGGTAACATATGCTCATGTCCTCGAGTGGGAAGGTCCATTCCTGTACCCAGCCAATGGAAAGCAGCATTTAAACACAAGTTGAAGTCCTAGTTCAGTCTGAAGACAGCAGAGCTTTTGTAGGAATTTCTAAACATAAGCAGGCTTTGGCCTTGAAAAAGTTGAATTTAAACAGGCCTTTACAAGGAGAAAGACCAAACCTATCACCAGTTAGCTACGTTTTTGTAAATCATTAGTTGCATTTGGAACAGATTATACCAGTCCAAGTTTAGGGTTACAGTTGACTGTGAGTGTTAAACTACTGGTACCTCAGATTTCACAG